ATCAAATGACACTAAGAAACAGCCAATAAAACCATAAAAACTATCTGAGAAAACACTGCAAAGTCGCTATTTTAAACGATACACACTGTCAGTTTTGTTTTTTCCATCATGGCCCACATGGGGCAAGATTTTTTTTTTATGTGATGTACACTCACTTCACAGACCCATCCTCTCATATTTAGACCAAAACTTACCACTCACAGCTCATCTAAGTAAGCTGAACTCATGACATAGAACTATGTGAGGGACCCTGGACTCAATGACATAGTTATATACGTACGTCGGACAGCAAAAGGGTTAAGCTCAATTATGAAAAATATAAAATCTTTAAGAAGTTTGTAACATACTTGACTGCTAAACCGCTGTTGCAACCCCTGAATGGGTTACAATGATTATTATGTATATATAATGTATATTACCTTTTCATTTAATTTTATATTGCTTATATTTGCGATAATAGCTAAATCGCAAATGTATTGCCTTATATTCTTATTTGACGTAGCTTATGTTGTTAGGATATATATAAAATGTGCTCAGTTAGTCTTGATTGTCAAACTACTGTAATTATCGCTTGTCGCTCGTTATACTGCCGGCTTCTGAGCTGCAGTTGTCCACGTAGCTATCACGTGATCGAGGGGGGGGTGTCCTCACCTCTCGTGAAGTCTGACAGTCTGCTGGAGACTCGCTTGCTGGTTGGACAGATTGTCTGTCTCATTATTCTTGTTAGTTCTGTAGAACTTTGTTCACAGAACATTGTATAGACTTAGTGATTTTCGACGTTGTACTGAGGTTGTGTGTCACATTGATACTCTGAACATCTCAGGTCCCGAGCTATAGCTTCTGACCTAATTTTGTACTGGTTCCTGTGTATTGTCACAGTCACAGTTTTTCCTATGCTGAACACAGATTCAGTATTATGGGAGTTTGGTAACTTTTGTGGAGGATCTGCAGATGGTCCCTACTTAGTGTCGTTATATTATTTCCCAGTTCCTGATTCTGTGTCGCAGTCGCTTGATATTGCATTGCTATTGGGCTTAGCATTCTTTGTTGTTCAAGCAGACTGTTCGGGTTGCCAGTCGGTCAAGAAGTTAGTTTATTTGAGGACTTTGTCAGTCACTTGTTTAAGTCTTATTCGAGTCTTGAGACATAGCTAACTACTTAAGAGCACTTACACGCATACACACACTTGTACATATTTGTAATATCTTATTAAATGTTAATGTACCTGACGGTACTTAAGAATTATAAATGTGATATGTGCTTTCAGCACAATAATATTGAACTCGAGAGATTGATTTTATTTTGATTGCTGTGATTTAATTTACTTTGATAATATACCTCTAGACAACTTACAGACTTAATAAATTTATTAAATTTTAATTTCTCTAGTTAGTAGCCTACCAGTTGTAATCCTAAAGCTCTATTGAACCATACTGCATTTTAATGGATAAATGGACAAGGATACTGACTACTTGTTACGAAAACCCAGTAACAGGCTGGATGCTAGAAGGGCAGTCCTTTCTAGTATTCACTGGAGATCTCTAAGCTTTTAGAATCGCGTTTTTTGTAACAACCGCACAGATGGATTTACTGATAGAAACAAGACATCGCGTACTGGCAAAACTCACGTAAACCAAAAACAGTGTTCACCTCGTTGGGTAGACGTCTTTCTCCGAGGTCATGGTCCAACATTAAACTCCTTAACTACCGGAACTTATCAAAAACCGGGAAATAATCATCCGATAACATTAGAAATACGTGAAAACGTGAGAAATAATTTGTGATGAAACACACTTATAGAGACTATGTTTCAAGTTGTGCCAGACCACTGTCAACTGACGACTTAATTACACGGTCCAGTATTTCCTCTCCTAACTGTAGCTACTACAGTATTGTGACTTTCCTAGAACAGGTCGACCATCGCTAATATGGCAATCAGTTATCCGGCTCCATCAGTAATACGGCACTAATTTCAGCTAGCATAATTTCAAATTTCCTCATTATACTGACTCAAATTTCATCATTATTCTGACTCATATATTGTGCAGATGGTTGTAAATCCACAGCAGCAAGCCAGTGGAGGAGAAAGCAGTGATGAAAATGAGGAAGATGTAGCAGAAAGTTTCTACTGATAGGCTAATTAAGTGTATTCTAACCTACAGGTCCCAATGATGCCGGATTAGTGATGGCCGACCTGTATGGTAAATAACGGCACTCTAAGCCTTTTAGTAACTGGCCATTAAAATACAGAGGGCATTTGAATATTCTTTTATCATGTCCAGGAATGGCACATTCTGAGACCTCCGTACTCTTGTGACTTGCCGTGCTTATCATAGTCTTTCTTATGAACCTTTAAAAGAGTCCAAACAGTCATTATCTGTACTTACAAGCGTTTGTGAACAATTGGGAAACAACTGTTCATATCTCGATGCCTCTCTCAACTTACAACTTTTATTTCTTTATGTGTAACAAAATAATAAAGGGTAGACCCCCCATATCCAAGACCTACCAGGGATACCTGAAACTATGGATAGTAGCAAACCCAATACATATATAAGTCATTTTTTCTTTACATACATACCTATGATAAAGTTAAATTGATAAATTACACACAATAAGTAGAGAATTATCACCTTTTTACTGATGGGAAGCACTTTATGGCTTCTCTTTTAAATTTTGGAGACATTACACAAATAACCCACACATAAAAGAGAGAAGCTTACGACGTCGTAAGCTTCTCTCTTTTATGTGCGGGTTATTTGTGTATCGTTCCAGTCACGGTATTGTGCCTTTTTTTGGTTATTTTGGAGACATTATTAAGCAAAATTAAGGGTTATTTTCATGCCACGATAAACCACAGGTAACTGAAACCGCGGAAACTGAATCAGTGGATATGGGGATTCTACTGTAGTTTACACGTAATAAACTACTGTTATGCACAAATTAAATCCACTAGACTGCAGTGCATTTCAGACAAATACTTAAATGTTAACTGCAGTCATATGTACAATAATAAAGGCAGATAATGAACGAATGGTAAATTACAAAAGTATTACCTATTACAGTGGAACCTCAAATTTCAAACTTAATCCGTTCCAGGAGCTAGTTCTAAATTCTAAAAGTTTGAAAGGCGAAGCAATATTTCCCATAAGAAATAATGGAAACACAATTAATCTGTTCCAGAAACCCAAAAATATTCACAAAACAATGCATTTTATAGATAGTACTACATTATAGTTTTACATACACACAACAAATAGTGTACAATTATTAATAAATTTAACCCGTAAACGGACCAAGCAGATCTACGTTCACATGTGTAGTGCTACAAAAAAGATCTAATTTTTTTTACACATTTTCAAATGTAGAAAAACAAAAAGAAGATCTACTTTTTTTTACATACTTTCAAATGTTGAAAAAACGTATATATACGTTTGGACCGTTTACGGGTTAAATAAACATATAAAATAAAATTTTTACTTTATTGAAGATTGGTGATGGCATCTGGAAGATAGGGAGGAGGAGAGAGGGGGTTGGGGTTAGTGTTTGGATGGAGAATCCCCCTCTGTGATGACTTCAGGTAAAGCCCTCTCTGGGGTTACTTCACTTCTCTGTCTTTTAATGCCACTAGGACCAGCTTGAGAGTCACTGGACCCCTGTCTCACAAAATAACTGTCCACAGTCCTTTGTTTCTGGCACCTCTTTAACCCTTAAACTGTCCAAGCAGATCTACGTTCACATGCATAGTGCTCCAAAAGTGGATCTACGTTTTTTTTCACATTTTTTCAAATATAATAAAAAAAAAAGTACATCAAAGTTTTTTACACGTTTTTCAAATGTTATAAAAAAAAACGATCTACTTTTTTACATACATACTTTCAAATGTTGAAAAAAACGTAGATCTACGTTCGGACAGTTTAAGGGTTAAGATTTCCCTAAAATGGGACATAGTTCTGTCACTGAACTTGCTGCAAAGATGGCTTGTTTCAGCTTGCTCAGGGTGGTACTTCTCCCAAACATTTGGACATCATTCCACTTGGACATCATTTCACTTCTGTATTGTTTCTTTCTTCACATCTATGGTGTTTCTCGCTTTCTTTACCACAGGGGTACCACTAGCAAGTTTCTTTGGGCCCATTGTAGCTTATTTCACAGTCCTACAAGCACTAAAACACAATGAAATAATCATAAAATGTCTGAATGAGAGCACAGGTTAGTGCTCACTCAAGCAACAACAAAGCCAGACTAGTTCACAGCGCCTGCGCAGGGACGTGGACAGAGCGGGCTGGTGGACAGGTCCGGTACCCGGCGGTTCGAAAATAGGGGCGAGTTCGATAATAGGGACAAAGTTGGTTCGAAAAAAGCGGTTGATTTTCGAAGAGTTCGATAAGCGATACGTTCAAAATTTGAGGTTCCAGTGTATTTCAAAATGATTCAATGATTTTCACTTTTGTGCAGTGACTGAGTAGTGACAGTGAAGACACAGCCAGTTACTGTGTTACAGTACAATCAGCTCTTATAAAGCTCCTCTGTATACAGTCAGCACTTACAAAGCTCCTCTATATACAGTCAGCACTTACAAAGCTCCTCTATATACAGTCAGCACTTACAAAGCTCCTCTATATACAGTCACTCTTATAAAGATCTTCTATATAAATTTGGCAAATGCATTTGAAAAAGTTGATTGAAAATTGACTATATAGAGGAGCTTTATTAGAGCTGACTGTATATAGGATGACCAGTGGATGACACTAACAAGTGGATGACCAGTGAATGACACTAACAAGTGGATGACCAGTGGATAACTAGTGGATGACACTAACAAGTGGATGACCAGTGGATGACACTAACAAGTGGATGACCAGTGGATGACACTAACAAGTGGATGACCAGTGGATGACACTAACAAGTGGATGACCAGTGGATAACTAGTGGATGACACTAACAAGTGGATGACCAGTGGATGACACAAACAAGTGGATCATCAGTGGATGACTTACGAGGGCAGACCTGGAGTACACCCAGACAAGCGTAGGCATCCAGCAACCTGCCATAGTGGTCGCCACGGATGACATCCGTCTCAGGTTGAGCTGTGGATGACACACTTAAAATTAGCGCTCAACTTCACAGCAAAAACTATTATACTTCTACAACAACAACAACAACAACAATAATAATAATAATAATAATAATAATAATAATAATATAATAATAATAATAATAATAATAATAATAATAAATAATTTTAATAATTCAAAACGTGCACCAATAATGTTTGAGCTCAGTGGTGGCTTTACTAAGCTCTAAATAAAGCCACCACTGCTTAGTGTGTCTGAATATGTCGTCATGCTAAGGGACTGATCCCCTTCTACCGCAGCTGAGGGACTGATCAACTTCTACCGCAGCTGAGGGACTGATCCCCTGCTACCACAGCTGAGGGAATGATCACCTTTTACCGCAGCTGAGGGAATGATCACCTTTTACCACAGCTGAGGGACTGATCCCCTTCTACCGCAGCTGAGGGAATGATCACCTTCTACCACAGCTGAGGGACTGATCACCTTCTACCGCAGCTGAGGGACTGATCACCTTCTACCGCAGCTGAGGGACTGATCCCCTTCTACCGCAGCTGAGGGAATGATCCCCTTCTACCACAGCTAAGGGGCTGATCCCCTTCTACCGCAGCTGAGGGGCTGATCCCCTTCTACCACAGCTAAGGGACTGATTCCCTTCTACCGCAGCTGAGGGACTGATCCCCTTCTACCGCAGCTGAGGGAATGATCCCCTTCTACCACAGCTAAGGGACTGTTCCCCTTCTACCGCAGCTGAGGGACTGATCCCCTTCTACCGCAGCTGAGGGAATGATCCCCCTTCTACCACAGCTAAGGGGCTGATCCCCTTCTACCGCAGCTAAGGGACTGATCCCCTTCTACCGCAGCTGAGGGAATGATCACCTTCTACCACAGCTGAGGGGCTGATCCCCTTCTACCACAGCTGAGGGAATGATCCCCTTCTACCACAGCTGAGGGAATGATCACCTTCTACCACAGCTGAGGGGCTGATCCCCTTCTACCACAGCTGAGGGAATGATCACCTTCTACCACAGCTGAGGGGCTGATCCCCTTCTACCGCAGCTGAGGGAATGATCACCTTCTACCGCAGCTGAGGGAATGATCACCTACCACAGCTGAGGGGCTGATCCCCTTCTACCGCAGCTGAGGGAATGATCACCTTCTACCACAGCTGAGGGGCTGATCCCCTTCTACCGCAGCTGAGGGACTGATCACCTTCTACCGCAGCTGAGGGAATGATCACCTTCTACCACAGCTGAGGGGCTGATCCCCTTCTACCGCAGCTGAGGGACTGATCACCTTCTACCGCAGCTGAGGGAATGATCACCTTCTACCACAGCTGGGGGACTGATCACCTTCTACCGCAGCTGAGGGACTGATCACTTTATACCGCAGCTGAGGGACTGCTCACCTTCTACCGCAGCTGAGGGACTGATCACCTTCTACTGCAGCTGAGGGACCGCTCACCTTCTACCGCAGCTGAGGGACTGATCCCCTTCTACCACAGCTGAGGGACTGATCACCTTCTACTGCAGCTGAGGGGCTGATCCCCTTCTACCGCAGCTGAGGGGCTGATCCCCTTCTACCGCAGCTGAGGGACTGATCACCTTCTACCGCAGCTGAGGGACTGCTCACCTTCTACTGCAGCTGAGGGACTGATCACCTTCTACCGCAGCTGAGGGACTGATCCCCTGCTACCACAGCTGAGGGACTGATCCCCTGCTACCGCAACTGAGGGACTGATCCCCTGCTACCGCAGCTGAGGGACTGATCACCTTCTACCGCAGCTGAGGGACTGATCCCCTTCTACCGCAGCTGAGGGACTGATCCCCTGCTACCGCAGCTGAGGGACTGATCCCCTTCTACCGCAGCTGAGGGACTGATCACCTTCTACCGCAGCTGAGGGACTGATCCCCTGCTACCACAGCTGAGGGACTGATCCCCTGCTACCACAGCTGAGGGACTGATCCCCTGCTACCACAGCTGAGGGACTGATCCCCTGCTACCACAGCTGAGGGACTGATCCCCTGCTACCACAGCTGAGGGACTGATTCCCTTCTACCACAGCTGAGGGACTGATTCCCTTCTACCACAGCTGAGAGACTGATCCTCTGCTACCACAGCTGAGGGACTGATCCCCTGCTACCACAGCTGAGGGACTGATCCCCTGCTACCACAGCTGAGGGACTGATTCCTTTCTACCACAGCTGAGGGACTGATCCCCTTCTACTGCAGTCGAGGGACTGATCCCATTCTACCGCAGTTGAGGGACTGATCCCGTTACCACAGCTGAGGGACTGATCTCCTTCTATCAAGACTGAGGGACTGACCACCTTCTATCAAGACTGAGGGACTGACCACCGTCTATCAAGACTGAGAGATTGACCACCTCCATATACAGTCCTCACATTAAATTCCTGAGGAAGGTCTTCCCCAGTGGTCCTAGGGAAGCAAGTCTTCCCCAGTGGTCCTGTGGAAGCAGATCTTCCCCATTGGTCCTGGGTAAGAGGAAGGTCTTCCCCAGTGGTCCTGGGGAAGCAGGTCTTCCTCAGTGGTCCTGGAGAAGCAGATCTTCCCCAGTGGTCCTGGGTAAGAGGAAGGCCTTCCCCAGTGGTCCTGGGGATGGGGAAGGTCTTCGCCAGTAGCCCTAGGGGAAGGGGAAGGTCTTCTCCAGTGGGCCTGGGGGAAGGGGAAGGTCTTCTTCAGTGGTCCTGGGGGAAGGGGAAGGTCTTCCCAGTGGTCCTGGGGGAAGGGGAAGGTCTTCCCAGTGGTCCTGGGGAAGAGGAAGGTCTTCCCAGTGGTCCTGGGGGAAGGGGGTCTTCGCCAGTGGTCCTGTGGGAAGGGGAAGGTCTTCCCAGGGGTCCTGGGGAGGGGGAAGGTCTTCCCAGTGGTCCTGAGGATGGGGAAGGTCTTTCCCCAATTGTCCTGGGAAGAAGGTCTTCCACAGTGGTATTAGGGAAGGTATTCCCCAGTGGTCCTAAGGAAAGTCTTCTCCATTGGTCCTGGGGAAGAGGAAGGTCTTCCCCAGCATTCCTGGAGAAGGGAGGTCTTTCCCAGTGGTCCTGGAGAAGGGGAAGGTCTTCACCAGTGGTTCTGGAGAAGGGGATGGTCTTCCACAGTGGTTCTGAAGAAGAGGAAGATCTTCCCCAGACGTCTTGGAGAAGGGGAAGGTCTTCCCCAGGTGTCCTGGGGGAAAGGAAATGTCTTCCCCAGTGGTCCTAGGAAAGAAGGTCTTCCCAGTGGTCCTGGGGAAGGGGAAGGTCTTTCTCCAAGGTCTTCTTAGTGGTCCTGCTTATTTTAGTGTCAGCTGCAAATAATACAAAAGTGTGCCGGATGTTTTTATTTGTCTGCTATGAGTATGAGAAACAGCAGAGGTGCCAGGACAGCGCCTTGGGGCACCGATTATTATTATTATAATCAGGGGGGAAGCGCTAAACCGGAGGATTATACAGCGCCTGGGGGGGGGGGGATGTGGAAGGCATTCAGGCTTAATTCGGGGAACTGAAGCACAGATCCAATTCCCTAAATCAAGAGCCCCTCACCAACATCAAGGAACCTTCCTTGAGGGGTTGGGGCACCGAGCTTTTGACATCGCTGATGCTGGATCTTGCCTTGTTCACTACTACTTTGTATGTTGTGCGTGTTAGGAACCCGAAAATCTATCTGCCTACCTTCCCCGTAATTCCCATGACCTTCATTTTGTGCGCTATCACTCCATGATCGCATTTGTCAAACGACTTTGGAAAATCACATTTGCGTTTTGGGGGTTTTCCAATGCCTCTGTAATTCTAGAGAACGGTCTTTCCTAGTGGTTCTGGGTAAGGAAGAGGTCTTTCACCAGTGGTCCTGGGGGACGGGGAAGGTCTTTCCTAGTGGTCCAGGGAAAGGAAGAGGTCTTTCATCAGTGGTCCTGGGGGACGGGGAAGGTCTTTCCTAGTGGTCCTGGGGAAGGAAGAGGTCTTTCACCAGTGGTCCTGGGGGACGGGGAAGGTCTTTCCTAGTGGTCCTGGGAAGGAAGAGGTCTTTCACCAGTGCCTGGGGGACGGGGAAGGTCTTCCTAGTGGTTCTGGGGAAGGAAGAGGTCTTTCACCAGTGGTTCTGGGGGAAAGGTAAGGTCTTACCCAGTGGTTCTGGGGGAAGGGGAATGTCTTCCCAGTGGTTCTGAGGGAAAGTGAAGGTCTTCCCAGTGGTTCTGGGGAAGGAGAAGGTCTTCCCCAGTGGTTCTGGGGGAAAGTGAATGTCTTCCCAGTGGTCCTGGGAAGGGGAAGGTCTTCCCCAGTGGTTCTGGGGGAAAGTGAAGGTCTTCCCCAGTGGTTCTGAGGGAAGGGGAAGGTCTTCCCCAGTGGTTCTGGGGGAAGGGAAGGTCTTCCCCAGTGGTTCTGGGGGAAAGTGAATGTCTTCCCCAGTGGTTTCCTGGGGAAGGGAGGTCTTCCCAGTGGTTCTGGGAGAAAGGTAAGGTCTTCCCCAGTGAATCTCGGAGTAGGGGAAGGTCTTCCCCAGTGGTTCTGGGGGAAAGGTAAAGTCTTCTCCAGTGGTTCTAAGGAAGGGGAAGGTCTTCCCCAGTGGCTTTGGGGAAGGTCTTCCCCAGTGGCTTTGGGGAAGAAGGTCTTCCCCAGTGGTTCTAGGGGAAGGGGAAAGTCTTCCCCAGATGAAGATCCTCCCCATGGTTCTGGGGAAGAGAAAGGTCCTCCCCAGTGGTTTTGGAGGAAGAGAAAGGTCCTCCCCAGTGGTTCTAGGGGAAGAGGAAGGTCCTCCCAGTGGTTCTGGGGGAAGGGAAGGCCTTCCCAGTGATTCTGGGGGAAGAGGAAGGTCCTCCCAGTGGTTCTGGGGGAAGAGGAAGGTCCTCCCCAGTGGTTCTGGGGAAGAGGAAGGTCCTCCCCAGTGGTTCTGGGGGAAGGAGGAAGGTCCCCCAGTGGTTCTGGGAAAGAGGAAGGTCTTTCCCAGTGGTTCTCGGGGAAAGTGAAGGTCTTCCCCAGTGGTTCTGGGGGAAAGGTAAGGTCTTCCCCAGTGGCTCTGGG